CCCTCCCGCGCTAGCCTAAGGGCCACCTTAGCAAAGCGCATCCCAGGCTGCATAGCCGCACTACCCTACCCAACCATACCACACATAAACATGACACTACCCCCGGGGTTTACACAGACGAGCCGGCGAAGCAAGAAGAGCGCCAGAAGAAAGGGCCCTAGCCGGCGGGGCCCAGCCAGGACAAAAGGAGGTCCCACAAAGCGCCTACACCGGCCGCATTTGCGGTCGGGGTAGACGACGGATGGGGCCCACCTACGAAGGCTGTCCAGGCCTACACGAGATGAGGCAGGATAAAGAGGGATAATCCCCCTCGATCCCAAATCATTGAGGCCAATTTCTAGCCATAGAATAATGGCGCAACGATTAAACTAACAGTACCTATCTCATTTTGAGCCAAAGTTCACCTCAATGGTTAGTTCAACCATAGACCTCAATGGTTAGTTCAACCATAGACAACATAGTTTTTAATTATCGCTTTGAGCTATATTGTCTGTGGTTCAATTAAACCAAATCCCAAACCCCAAACTCAGATAGTAGATAAAAGCATAGAACTAGGTAAATTATGGGTCAAAATTTCCATCCTAAATTAGTACCTAAGTTGTCCTTGTGCTTTACATGTAATTTTCAAGTTTCAATGGTACAGCAGCCAATTCACAAGCATAGAAAAAGAAATTATATTTGTAAATTAACTAATAAACGCTTTAGTCACTTTTACTAATTTCATTTTGAATTCGATGACGTCACGAATTGCCCTCAAGTTAAAAAATAATAATTTAACGTTTAACAGTTGGCACTCAGAGAAATTTGTGTTTGACAGTTTTGACATTTGACACTGACAGAGTGACAGACAACACAAATATTGACAAGAAAAAGGGTAGGTTATTTGTGTATATCTATACAACTTGTCGTTAATATATATTACCTATATACCTTTTCACATTCTCACAGTGAACCGAGAGTTTTCAAGTTTTTGACCAGTATCTTTAATCAACTATTAACAAAATGGCACATTACAAGGGAGCTGCCAGTGAGGCTGGTAGGGCCATGCAGCTTATGAAGAAAAGAGAAAAGGAAATGCAAGATTTAGAAATAAGAAAGAAGAGAATTGAAGAAGATCTGAGGCTTAACAATATTGAAAATAAATTTGCAACCCATTACGATGCAGTTGAACAGCAACTTAAGGTATTAATTTGAAATATATACTATCGTTATTTAATTACTGACACCTCTGCAGAGTTCAACTATTGGTTTGGTCACCCTGGATGAGATGAAGGCAAAACAAGAGAATATTGTAAAGGAAAGAGAGAAAAAGTTGGCTCAAAAACAAGCGGAGAAGGAGAGGGAGAAACAAAGACAATTGGAGGCTAAACAGGCAGAGAAAAATAAACAGAAGAAACAGGTATTATCCCTTTAGATTTAATTTTAGATGCTTTTATAGCACTGTTTGAAAATTGTGAGAATAAAAGTAGATAGTTTATGTTATAGATACAAGCACTGTCATTTAATTTGGATGAAGATGAAGACAGCGCAGAGGAAAATGAAGATATTAGTAACGAACCTCAGATAAGTACAAAAGGCTGGAAGAGAGATAGTGAAGATAATGCTAAATTGAATTTGAAAAAGATTAAAAAGGACCCCAATGTTGATACTAGCTTTTTACCAGACAGGGAGAGGGAGGAAGAGGAAAATAAACTTCGAGAGGAGTTGAGACAGCAGTGGGCAGAACAACAGCAGAAACTTAAGGAGGAAGAAATTGATATCACCTTCAGTTATTGGGATGGATCAGGTCACCGGCGGACAGTACGTGTAAAAAAAGGTAATATTTTTGAAGAAAGATATATAACATGGTTTATACAGTACACATTCATTAATATGCTGTGTGCATTAATCCACTATTTTTGAAATGTTACGGAGCTCTACAGTCCAACAATTTGTTGTTTCGTATGTCCAGTAATTTACGTTACCTGTTGTCAATTATATTCTATACTTCGTTAAATTTTCTTTTGTTAGTGATTGATTTGACAGCGCTACTTATATTGCATTCTTTTTAAACTGTTTGATAATTTTATAACATGTATGTGAAATATCAAATATAAACATAAGCATAGGAAATTATACAAAAATTGATAATGCAAGTTTGTCTATATTATACAATATTGGACGCACCGTTTATGATATTCACAGCAATCATGTGAATATCGAGAAGGTTGCAACAACAATCGACAAATTATAAAGACAGGAAGGAAAAATGGAAAGTTTAATTCTCCAATAATGTTGATGAAACACACCAATCACGGCAGAGATTTTACATCAAATGGATTTGTTTTTTATTATAAAATTTACAAAAAATTGATGAAAAGGCTTAGATGACAAAATCAATTTTCTTCAATTAGTTTCAGATGTATGATGTTTTCTGCTGTAGAAAGACCTTCCATGGAATGTGTTGCTTTTATTCAACAATGCACCTAATTACGGCACAAATAGTAATAACTTGGTATCAAAGATGGTTTAATTCATGCTTTTCTTGTCACATAAAGTTACGCTATTATTGTAACCAATGGATCAGAACAATATATAAACTGAAAAAATAAATTACAGGGTATTTCAAAAAGGTGTTGACAAACTTGAGGGGGTTATAGAAGACATTGCGGAAGAAAATTTTTGTATATAAGTAAACTCATAGTCAGAAATGAGCCATTTTGGTCCTGGAGCAATATCTGTCCAAAAACGTAATGTTATTAAGTTGACTCCAAAAGGCTCCGATATTTAAATAATTTTTATTAAGGATAACGCAAAAAATGATTGTAACAAAATAAACACGTTTATCTCTTCTGATAAGTGTTTAACAACTGCATATCCTACACACGATGTTGGTAAAAATTGATTTTATCCACAACTGTGTAATAAAAGTTCTATTGCACGCATCTAATCTAGCCATGCAGTGTCATCTGTGTCATGCTGTGAGGAATAGTGAAACAAATTAACAGAGCTACCACGTAATAAATGATGGGACCTAAGTGAGTGTTTCACATTTGTTTTGTTTGCAACGAAATTTTGCTTCTTATGTTGTTGAAATGGACCAATTTACGTTCGAAGAGGATGGAGACATGCATCTTATTTATGGCAAAGCAACATGCAACGCTAAAGAAGCTGAGTGCTGTCTGAATCGCCGACATCCTTGCAGAACTATATTTTTGTCAGATATAGGAAATTGACATCCACGAATTGCACAGACAGTGGCCATTGGGGAAGAGGTTTTGCATCGAACTAAAGCACAACCTACCACAAGCCGTTTTGAACAATTATATAAATTTGTTATTTTTGCGTTATCCTTAATAAAAATTACTTAAATATTGAAACCTTTTGGAGTTAACGTAATAATATTGCGTTTCTGGACAAAAATTGCTCCAGGGCCAAAACGGCTCATTTCCAACTAGGGGTTTATATACAAAAATTTTCTTCCGCAATGTCGTCTATATAGGGTTAGCAGATCTATTTCATGACAGACCTGAAGACATGACCCGTTTGTATAAATGATGCCTAAAAAAAAGGTTATGCAAATCCAATATCGGGAAATCTGGAAAAAAAGTTGTTTTCGACGAAATCGATGTCAAAAAAAAGGACGCAATCAAGAAATGTTTACAAAGTGACAGACCTGGAGATACGGATCCAGAGATGGATGGGGGCCGTTGTATAATTGATGTCTAGAAAATTAAATGTTTTTTCCGTAACAAAGAAAACCAGGAGAAATGACATGTTAAAAGATGTACCATCAAAACCCGGAGATCTAGCAACCCTACTCTCAAGTTTGGTTACACCTTTTTGAAACACTCCACGGTGCTCCTGAGCGAGTTTAAATGAAATTTTCGAGTCACTCCAAAATAATGAGATATCCTGTTTCTACAATACTTGAACATCATTTTAAGTCCTGAACCAAAATATTTGGCGTGGCGCTTTTTTTTCCGATGGCAAAATAAGAAATTTTATATTTTTCACGTTACCTGTTGTTGCATGTACGTAAGGAGTTCACACCCAAATTTTAAAAACTATAAATTAGTTCTCCTAAGAAACCTAATTTACTTCGACTATTTTTATCTAATATTATTAAGCTGTATATGAAAGTTTCTGTTATATTTTAGGAAATTCCATTTATCAATTTTTACAAAAGGTTTTGGAGCTCCTCAGGAAGGAATTTTCAGAATTAAAAACAGTAATGGCAGATCAGTTAATGTATGTCAAAGAAGATTTAATTCTACCTCATCATTATACATTTTATGATTTTATAGTTACTAAGGTAAGTTCTAAATTTTTTTTATATGAAGATATGTGCTAATACTCTTTTTTCAGGCAAGGGGTAAGAGCGGGCCTCTATTTCAATTCGACGTGCACGATGATATCAGATTAGTCAGTGATGCGTCAATAGAAAAGGAAGAATCACATGCCGGGAAAGTTCTGTTAAGAAGTTGGTATGAACGCAATAAGCATATATTTCCGGCAAGTCGATGGGAACCCTATGATCCTACTAAAACCTATGATAAATATACAGTATCAGATAAAAACAAGAAAGTTTAGTATATGTAGAATAAGTAATTGTATAAATGTTATTAGTAAATTGTTTATAAAAATTATAAATCTATGTGTATTTAGTTTTGTTATATGCGCAACCGGTAGTAACAGTTCCTAAGACCACTTAACTTTCAAAAAATCTATTTTTTTTAATTGAATTAAAAGAGGCTTTGAATCTTCGGAATAAGGGGAAAGAAGTTTTTATGCATGTACAAAGTTTTTTTCTTTGAAATTCCAAGTTCTTTACCAAGCTTGTAGGACTGCTCCGAAGCGACTACCTGCGGCACAAGATATCTGCAGGAGGGGTAGAGCCTAATGACTTACCTTTTGATTTCTAACTTCTAATACTAGTATAGTCTTTCCGATATCAATTGAAGAACCAAGAGGTTGACAGTGTGTACCAGGTTCGGTCGCTGACACATCAACTCGGCATTGAAATATTTGAAAAACTTGTTCCCATATTTATTTAGCCATACCCATATAACAGGTCTGGTCGAATAAACGTGGAGGTGGTATGTGCCCAGTTGAAGAATGAGAGCGCAGGGAAATACAAACAGTTGCATTGGGCCACTGGGCAATAAATCGCAGCTGTTGACAAGTGGTTGACAAATTGCCCAGCAGTGCGGTGCAGCAATGCGGAATTTGGTGTAATTCAGGTAATTTTAATTAATTATAGTCACCTTCTATTAATCATTGATAATACAGTTGCGAAAGGGAGAAATAATATTATTACAACATGGCATTCATTAAATTTTATTGCCAGGCGTTTTTATACATGTTCAACTGACTTCGGAAAGACTATAACAAATGTCGTTGGAAAGAGTTTGTATCCAATTAAAAGCATTTTTAAAGAAATGTATGTTAGTATAACGTATGTCTGAAAACTTTAGAGGCATTTTTCTCGAAAAAAGATATTTTTTTTTAAGCAAAACAGAAGGGAGTGCTATCTCCGTAAATATTGCATTCTTTAAAAAAAAGAAAAAAACACTCAAGTAGTAAATAAATGTAAACAATCTGAAAAAAATTGTTAAAATAATAGTTATAAAGGTTATACTGTATACCCTGCGTCGGACTATGAACGTAATTGACCATTCCCATACTGTTTTTAAGAATATCATTATTTATAACTATTATTTTAACAAATTTCTTCATAATGTTTACAGTTATTTACTGTCTGTTTTCTCTTTTTTTAAAGAACACAATATTTACGGTTATAGCACTCCCTTCTTTTTTCCTTAATAAAAAAAAGAGCATTTGAGACAAATGACCTTCACAGTACTAAAAACAATAGTTCGACTTATCGTCAGTAAAAATTTGGAATTTTTTTATCAATTAACAAAAAAGTTACGCCGAGTTAAAGTGAGAGGTATCAATTTTGTAGGCAGAAAACCGTGATTTTTTCAACATTTTCATTAATAACTAACAAATGGGATAACGAAACTAACTGAAATTTTAGCACACAATAGAGTAATAGTGAGGCTATATATGGTCCAAATTTCAATTTTTTTTGCCAATACATTTTCTTAATATCGGTTTCCAAACTCGTGTGTATTTCATTTATTTCGATAGTACCTAACTACTATTTAAAATATTTTGATTTGCCATCTATTTTTCGCCAAAAAGTGTTTTTTTCTTCAAAAATACCAAAGTACATTAATTTTTATGAAATTAGGTATTTCACAATTTTAATGTACAAAGAACATAGTCGGATTAATTTATTCCTATTCTTTGTTAAAGTACTATATTTCCATGATGAATTTTGTGGATAGATCGTTTAGGACCGTATGGTATAGAACAGGGATGTATTTTCCTGTATGTAGGGCATAGGGAGTGAGCTGCTCCAGAGGAGTGCCTGAAGAGTCGTCCCTCTGGGTTTTTTCTTGACATTTTACATTTACTAACAGGTATAAGGGCAGTTAATCATATTCAACCAGGGTGCGTAATTTAGAAATACGTTCCTGGTATAGAATTATCTTGAATTTAGAAGGGAAAGGAATTATCACAATCACAATTAGATTGGTACAAAAAAAAATTATACTTACCAGTTATTTTTAATGCAAAAATATTGGATTTTTAAATACTTTTATTCTCAACTTTCATAAAAGTGTATTTGAAATACTCTACTGGACAATAGGAGTGACCAGTACCGATATTTGTCAATTGTTATATACTGACATCAAAATCGTTAATTATCTATCAATCTACAGTTATAATCATATTTCTATGTTCAAAGAAAAGTATTTATAAAGATAAATTTCAGTTGCAACAAGGAAAAGCAGACATCTACCTCATTTTTTGTTTTTACTGTTTATTATGCTCATTTACACGTTTGGTAAACTTTTTTTAACCGTCGGTTTTTTGGGCAAATTTTCTAAAATTGCAGCTTGTTCAGAAAATATTGCTTCTGCTGGCTGTTCCCAGAAATTGGGTGTATATGGTATCCTTTTCACTAAATCAGTATTCCAATGGTGAATTCTACATCTAACATTTACTTTTTCTTGGTTATTTATCTGAAAATAAAATGTAGGTACATAATTTAAATTCAATTTAAAAAAAAATACTTACAGTTACAGTAACAAAGAATTCCTTATCTTGCAAGTTCATATCAGGTCCTTTAATTGGTTTTTCTGGAAGTGTGATTGTATCTTCTGGTACAATATATCCACATTTTCGGAAAGACGCTTTTACATGCCACGGTTTAAGAGTCCAAGGTGTCTCCATATTCATTACGACAGATAGCAACATTCGCGCCATAATTTTAGCAGTCTAAAATTAAACACTACCTAGACTCTTTTCATATAAAGGCTGTTGTCATACTTACAATTGGCGCATTAGGAGAACTATGTCGTTCTTCCTCAACTTCATGGTTTTTATATTTTTCTAGGTTTTCTGGACTAGCATACACTCCTAATCCAGGCAGCAGGATATTGTTATATGCAAAATTTGGCTTTACGGATACTCTGTTACCAGCATTTCCTATTCCTTCTACATAAGATTTTAATATAATGTCTATATTTGGTTGCCGTTCTACATGTGTCATTTGTACTACATCATACACATAGTGTTTACTTTTTAAAGCCTTTGGTTCCCGACCCTTTTTGTTCAACGGAACCGGGTTTCTTCGCTTTAATACAAATGTAGTCTAAAATAAAATAAATGATAGGTTATTCACTTAAATTTGGATTTTCTTACCCGTAACTGATGTTTAGCAAAATTTTCAGTTGTGAGGAGTAAACCTTGACTGTTAGCTGCAGAGTTCAGTGCGAGGCGCAAACATTTAAACATTTTAAAAATATATTATAATTACCAAAACAACAAATTACAAATCTATCCTAACCTAAAATTATAGAATACTCGAAGAAGAGGTCGTTCAGAATGACTTGCACACCGTGTACTACAGGAATAAAAGTAAGAGTAACGAGTAACTTTATGTTAGCTCCGCGTCAGATCACAAAATTTTCGTCAATTTAAAAAAATATAGTTGGAGGTACAATTATCCCCAACCTGGAGGTCAATAGCAGCAGTCACGTATGGTAAAAATAAACAGTTTTCTCGAAAGTATTTTTATTTTCAAGTCTTATTCGTTATTAATGTAATTTATAAATAGAAGCAATATCATTTGGGAAAGTTGTACCAAACTAATCTTGATCTTGTCCGCCAGATGTGCAGATCAAGAAAAGTCCAATTTCTCACAATCCTTTTATATTTTTAAAATAGACTACCGGTTTCGAGGTCAAACTTTTTCACCTCATCTTCAGGTCCTACAAAGGCTACAATATCATACAATTTTTTTAAGTTAGTGAAGTCAAATTATGTTTAATTTTAAATTTTGTAAAGCTAAATTATGTTTAACTTTTTAACCTATACAATAGTTATTAATTTTTTACAAATATTTGATTTTTAATTATTTCTTAAGTTTTACTTTTTTAAAACTGTTAGTTAACCATACCCTGCCCGCTAACCATTTCTGTTTCAGAGACCGCCAGGATCAAGAAACGAAGACAACGACACACACACACACACACACAGATACACACACACTCCCCATACCCTCCTTACCCCTCCCCTCCCGCGCTAGCCTAAGGGCCACCTTAGCAAAGCGCATCCCAGGCTGCATAGCCGCGCTACCCTACCCAACCATACCACACATAAACATGACACCCCCGGGGTTTACACAGACGAGCCGGCGAAGCAAGAAGAGCGCCAGAAGAAAGGGCCCTAGCCGGCGGGGCCCAGCCAGGACAAAAGGAGGTCCCACAAAGCGCCTACACCGGCCGCATTTGCGGTCGGGGTAGACGACGGATGGGGGCCACCTACGAAGGCTGTCCAGGCCTACACGAGATGAGGCAGGATAAAGAGGGATAATCCCCCTCGATCCCAAATCATTGAGGCCAATTTCTAGCCATGGAATAATGGCGAGTTAACCATGATAAATATAAAAATAAATCTTTTTTACATACTTACATATCACAATATTACAGGTGTCACTTCAACAATTTTTAATATCCAAAACACATTAAGATTTTTGTCAAGAATTGCGGCCTTATCACCCAATAAGTGTTCATGAAATTTTACTCCAGGATAACAATGCTACTTTTTTAACAGGTAAATATAAACTAATAATAATGACGATAATGCAAATAAATGTATTTCTGCAACAGAGTCCTATTTACAAAAAATGGAGTAATAGATTTGCACAAGTGATCAATGGAGTGACGATAATCCAAAGGCAACTATTGTATACCACACGATTCTCAACATCAATTTGCATGGGCTGGAATTATAGGTGATCATTTAGGTATTAGGGTCTGTTGAGCTTCTGCCATGTTAACATGGTGTTTTAATTTACATTTTTTAGAACATGCCATCTATTATTGAAAGATATGCACTTTAATATTAGAAGGGACCTTCTGTTTTAAGCATGATGGTGCATTACCACATTACTCTAAAACTGTGCAGCAGTTCCTTAATAATCAGTTTGATGGGCGATGGATTGGACGTGACGAAAGTAGGTACATGAAGCAAAATGAAGCTGGTAAGGCCTGCCAGGTTACCCGACCTGAATTGTGGACAAGCAAGATGTTGGAATGTTAGGGCACGGCAATAATTTCTTAGACGTAGGTATAACCATATGCATTAAAGAAAATGAAGGTCAATTTCGACGTTTAATTATAATATTTTATTTATTTATTTAATTATGTACCTACTTTATTTACTTATGTGTTTAATATTTTTTGCTTTCTGTAATTTTTATTCAGTATTTAAACAGCTCTTCATTGTTGCAAGAATACGGCAGCAAATTAAATTATGGAAGGTTTATTAGGTATACTTAGTCTAGTTAACATTTGAAATCTGGAATTATGGAGAGCGTAGCTTTTAACGCTACAGCACTTAGGCCCCATTCGGCCCCTTGTACCTTCTCCCATTAGGAGATCAATCCACCTGAGCCGCTAACCAACCTATTGCAGAGAAAAAGGTGGTTACGGTGATCTCACAATATGGATTCTTTTATTGACGAGAGAGCAGTGCATTCGCATAGCACATGAGATACTGTCTCGTCTTCCTGTTCACAGGCCCTACAAAGAGGCTTTTCACACTTCCGCATGTTGTAGAGATGCTTGCTTCCTTAGCCAAAAATGTCCAGCCTGAATACCTGTCACAAGACGGATATTTGACCTAGACATGGCCAGGTATTTTTTGGCTGTATCCTTGCTGGGGTATTCTAAGAACTCCTTAGCAAAATGACAGCTGTTTGTTTCATCCCACCGTTTCATAAATTCTTTATAAGGGTTTTCCTTAATAATTTCGACGAGTGCTGACAGCGGAAGCACACTGGATGCACCGTGTCTGCCTACAGAAGGGGCATCTTATTGACGACCCCGTTTCATAGGCGACTCCTAACTTCTCCGCATCCTACATCCGGTTTAAAACCAACGTTCTTGATTCGAAGCAAAGTTGATAAAGTCGCTTTTCTTAGATGAATATCCAGAGGTGACAGACACAGCATTACCTCCATTGCTATGGTAGGTGTTGTCCTGGTTGTCCGCATACCTTCAGTTATGCTCAGACAGGCAATCCTTGGCTGAGCTTTTGTTTAGCTGTCATCTGCTGGGATTTTGGCCACCAGACGACAGCCACACTATGGCAGTGTATATCCACATAACCACCTTTGGTTTCATCACCCAGGTTTTGCCAACGGTTCTGCGGCACTGCTCATAGGATATGTACGCCTTTTTAAATCTTCTTTCAAAGTGAAGATTCCATGTTAGCTTTGAATCCCTAGGTATCAGATGCAAAGCTTAACGTATAGTGTTTTGCAGTTTTAGGTTAAGAAATCTTAGAATCCTAAAGGGATATAATAATTTGGAGGTCAGATTCTGACTAAGCGACCCAAAAATCATGTGAATACATTACTTCCGCTTTCTGAAGAACTTTTTTCAATTTTAGTACCACTGTTATGAAAACGCTAAAGTACCTAACTTCATTCAATGATATCTCCGCGAATAAAAAAGATTTTTGAAACCTGAAAAAAGCGTTTTGAAGGGTAAGAGTGGCAGTTTTAGAAGGCACGATTCGTTTTTAGAAAAAAAAAAAATCGCTCTGTGATATAAGCTCAACGCCCTACCCCCGAAATCCATCGATTTGTCCGATTATAATTGCAGAACTTTTTTTTTAGGCGTCAATTATACAAACGGGTTATGTCTCCGGGTTTGTCATGAAATAAATCTGGTAACCCTACGTATAGGAGCAATTCTGATGCCGGGTTCTGATTCTGCATTCCAAAAACCTTCGGGCAAGTGAGGTTTGGTTTTTGGGTGTAAAAATTGTTGCCCTGTGTAACTGTTTAAAAAAAAGGTGCTAAAATTATTTCGCTTCGTTGAGACTTTTTGACCACTATACTTAACGAAATCACCTTATGGCGATGTATTAAATAGTTATAACTCATTAGTTATTATTTTTTTTATAAAAAAACAAATAAATAAAAATGAATAAAAAGTGGTGAAAATTATATTTTTAAGGGAAAATAATGAAGGCACTGTTTTTATGTAAGAAAGTTACATTAAAAAACATTAGTTAAATTTTTTTCAGTACATACATTTGTTTAAATAATTTTTTTAAACAAATGCAGTAATTACCTACATATTTTTCAATATTTTTTTGCATTTCATTTTTTAGCGTAGATATACGAGTATGTATTATGATTTAATTGTTTTTATTTTATGGTTGTTTAAATATTATATTAAGAATTCGTTTTTTCTGTAAAATAACTTATAATCTCCCAGAAAAAATTAATCTGGTAACCCACCTAAATAATTTAAACGACTCTTCTTAAACCCTGGAAAAATTAAAAAAAGTAAAGGTTTATATTTTTAAGGGGAAATAAAGTTAAATGTATACAGGGTGTATTTAAATGGAGGGGCATAAATGATACCAGATATTCCTTGGGTGAAAATAAGTCGATTTAACCTAACATACCTATATCCCAAGTCGCATAATAAAAAAGATACAGGGTGTCAAAGTGAAAAATAAAAAATGATTTTTCCTTAATAATTTCTATAATTTTAGTCAGAAATGTTTCAAATTTTCAACAGAGAAGTTTTTTAATGATGGGAAAAATAATATGATAATGATTTTTGAGTGTTGAGTATGAGGCGTCCTCTGCAGGCAATGTCATGCATTGAACATGTAGTAACTTTTTTGCCAACCCCCGTATACAGCTTTTAGTAACAAATTATGAAATATTGGACTTTTTTGAACAAAAAAGGTATTGTTATTGAAAATGGCTAAAGCCAACCGTTGAGGAGATATTTTTAATTTCATAAATTAGTGTTATGGATTTATACCTCCACGAATACCAAGGTTCGAAGTTGCTTAAATAAATAAAAAAATCGAGTAGGTAAATGCCATTTGATAATACTCGTAATTTGCAATTTTGAAGTATTAGATTAAAGTGTTAATTGATTTTAGATCTGCGTCCTAGATATTAAATAGTTTTGGAACTCAATAAAATGACAAATTATGTATACGTATGTCGATATGTTGCAAGTATTTTTTGAATGTTACAAGAACTGTGCTGCTGCTGTACGACTTTATCATGCCAGATATCCCAATCGTCATGTTCCTGCTAGAAAAACTTTTGCGGCGGTAGAAAGAAGACTTCGAGGAAACGGACACATTCAACCTCGTCCTGAAGGTACTGGCAGAAGACGTCTTATTCGCGATGTAGAACTTGAAGAAGTTGTCCTTGGCAATTTACAAGATCAGAATTCTGAAACTAGTACCAGAAAATTGGCGACATAGTATAACGCTTCACATACTACGATTTGGAAAATTGCGAATGATAATCTCTTATACCCCTACCATCTACAATCTGTGCAGGAATTGACTGCTGTGGATTTACCTAACA